CCGAGTCAAAAATAGTCCACGCCGAATCCAGGTCGTACGTGTCCCGGTTCTGGCTGGTCCAACGGAAAAATGTGGGCATCTCGTAGTGAGCTTATCCGGCACCATGACACATTTGGCGTGCAGCAAGTTCTTTGCTTGTTCCTCAAGGTCCAAGTCAAAAATCTTGATGCCTTCGTCCCTTTGGTCGAGGTGCCGGTCTGGCATCACAGTGGGTAGTTGCGGTCATCCCTCGGACGTGCCGAGGCATCCAGTGTGACCCGTTCCGCACGGAAGGTTGTGGCGCTAGGTGAAGCCTTCACGGGCATATCCTTAGCACGAAGGGGGCAAGTTCCCAATCATCCGGAAGTGCACTATGGGCGGTTCATCATGGTCGAAGCCAAGGCGCGGCCGTGTTTGACGCGATCAGCAACGTCTCTCCAGTCGCCTCGTCCCTCGGAAAAGTGTGCTCTGTTGAGGTGCCGGCCTGGCCTCACAGTGCCGAGATGGGTAGTTGTGCGCATCCCTCGGACGCGCCGAGGCTTCTAGTGTGACCCGTTCGGCACGGAAGGATGTGGGTCTACGCGTTCCCTTCAGTGGCATATCCGTAGCACTGAGGGGCAAGTTCCCAAACATCCGGAAGTGCACTCTGGGCGGTTCAACGCGGTCGAAGCCAAGGCAAGGCCATGGTTGAAGCAATCAGCAACGTCTCTCCAGTCGCCTCGTCCCTCGGAAAAGTGTTCTCTGTTGAGGTGCCGGCCTGGCCTCACAGTGCGGAGATGGGTGGTTGTGCGCATCCCTTGGACGCGCCGATGCTTCTAGTGTGACCCGTTCGGCACGGAAGGATGTGGGTCTACGCGTTCCCTTCAGTGGCATATCCGTAGCACTGAGGGGCAAGTTCCCAAACATCCGGAAGTGCACTCTGGGCGGTTCAGCACGGTCGAAGCCGAGGCAAGGCCAAGGTTGAAGCAATCAGCAACGTCTCTCCAGTCGCCTCGTCCCTCGGAAATGTGTGCTCTGTTGAGGTGCCGGCCCGGCCTCACAGTGTCGAGATGGGTAGTTGTGGGCATCCCTCGGACGTGCCGAGGCTTCTCGTGTGGACCGTTCTGCACGGAAGGATGTGGCGCTAGGTGTTGCCTTAATGGGCATAGCCGTAGCACGAAGGGGCAAGTGTCCAAGCATCCGGAAGTGCACTTTTGGCGGTTGAACATGGTTGAGGCCATGGCGCGGTAGTGGTTGAGGCCATCAGCATCGTCTCTGCAGTCGCCTCGTCCCTCGGAAATGTGTGCTCTGTTGAGGTGCCGGCCTGGCCTCACAGTGCCGAGATGGGTAGTTGTGGGCATCCCTCGGACGTGCCGAGGCTTCTCGTGTGACCCGTTCTGCACGGAAGGATGTGGCGCTAGGTGTTGCTCTAATGGGCATGGCCGTAGCACGAAGGGGCAAGTTTCCAAGCATCCGGAAGTGCACTTTTGGCGGTTGAACATGGTTGAGGCCATGGCGCGTTTGTGGTTGAGGCCATCAGCAACGTGTCCCCTGTTGCCTGTCCCTCGGAAAAGTGTGCGCTGTTGAGGTGCCTGCCTGGCCTCACAGTGCCGAGATGGGTTGTTGCGGATACCTCGGAATTGTCGTGTGTTCATGTGTGGCCTGATCTGCACGGATGGTTTTGGTAATATCTTCAGGCACGAAGGGTCAAGTTCCCAAGCATCCGGAAGTGCACCCTGGGCGGTTCAACACGGTTGGAGCCATGGGGCGGTCGTGGTCGAATCAATCAACAATGTTTCTCCTGTCGCCTTGTCCCTCGGGAAAGTGTTCTGTTGAGGTGCCGGCCTGGCCTCACAGTGCAGAGTTGGTTTGTTGCGGGGATCCCTCGGAATTGTCGTGGCTTCTACTGTGGCCCGTTCTGCACGGAAGGTTGTGGTGCTCGGTGAACCCTTCATGGGCGTAGCCGCAGCACCATGGGTCAAGTTCCCAATCATCCGGAAGTGCACCCTGGGCTGTTCAACACGGTTGGAGCCATGGGGCGGACGTGGTCGAATCAATCAGCAATGTTTCTCCTGTCGCCTTGTCCCTCGGAAAAGTGTTCTGTCGAGGTGCCGGCCTGGCCTCACAGTGCAGGGTTGGTTTGTTGCGGGGATCCCTCGGAATTGTCGTTGCTTCTACCGAGGCCCGTTGTTCACGGAAGGTTGTGGTGCTCGGTGAACCCTTCTTGGGCGTATCCGCAGCACCATGCATGGGTCAAGTTCCCAAGCATCCGGAAGTGCACCCTGGGCTGTTCAACACGGTTGGAGCCATGGGGCGGTCGTGGTCGAATCAATCAGCAATGTTTCTCCTGTCGCCTTGTCCCTCGGGAAAGTGTTCTGTTGAGGTGCCGGCCTGGCCTCACAGTGCAGAGTTGGTTTGTTGCGGGGATCCCTCGGAATTGTCGTGCCTTCTACTGTGGCACGTTCTGCACGGAAGGTTGTGGTGCTCGGTGAACCCTTCATGGGCATATATGCAGAGCACGAAGGGGCGTAAGTCCCATAAT